TGGAGGGGAAGCAACTACACAAAACTTTTAAAAAGTTCTAGTGAATACGGTGGGAGCTTTGCAGAAAGTTTGCGAAAGTCTTCGCCTATAATATTTAGAGCTAGACTCAAAGAGCGCAGAGGAAAAAATGTTTTAATATTTGCAGGCAACTTTTGTACAGTATTTATCAAAATAAACATGGCAATCAGAATGTCCGCTGGTAATATAGAGAGGGAAAAAAACCAACAAATCCGAGGATTTGCCAATTATTTTTTAAAAATAGAGTCTACTTGGAAGATTGCGGCTTTGGCAGCTGAATTTCTAGCAGCTGCAGGAGGAGAGGAAATTATTTTGCAGCATTTGGACGTTTAAATTGTTTAGAAATTGTACAAAAGGCAAAAAGTAGGATGAGTACGCGCGAACCATGAGCGTGGTTTGCTATAAAAGGGCAAACGTTTAGATTGTACTAAATTCTTTTTTTTTTTTTTACTTCTTGTTTTAAAAAATGCCATGCAGGTTCACATGCCGTTTGTTAATTTATGATAACTTTGTTTTCAGACTTCATCCTGTTCAGAGAAAAGAAAAAGGAAAAAAAAAAGGAAAAATACCAACCTGAAATTACTGTGTTTGAAATATTTTCTTATGGTTTGTAATATTTCTGTAAATTTATTGTGATGATATTTTAAGTTTTTTTCCTCATTTTCCGTAGTTGTATTTTAAAGATTCGGCTCTGTATTATTTGAAATCAGTCTGCCGACAGTCCATGTATATATTTGAACTAATACCATCCTTATAACAGGTACATATCCAAGTTAAGTTTTTACTCCATTATGCACAGTTTGAGATAAATAAATTTTTGACATATGGACACTGAAGTTACGCTTGAGTCTTGGATTTATTTTTTGTAACGCAAGATTATTTTTTATCAAATCGTGCATTAGAAGGTGATATCGTTGTGAGCAATTGTGTAGTATAAATAATGCAGTGTATGTATGTATATAACATGTGCCATATATTTTTATAGCTCTGTTTAGAGTACGGTCTCTCTAGGCGGTACCGGCGGTGGCTGCGCGGCGGGGACGCGAGCGCGGCGGACCTCGGTCTCTTCCAGATCCCCTTCCCGCGGCTGGAGGGCGCGGACGGGCGAGCAGGACGGCTCGGACTCGCCCTCGGGGACCACTTGTTGCCTCGTCGGGCCCGCGGCCGGGCCGCAGGGCAACGCGGAGCCGAGGCGCGGCAGGACGCGCGGCGCGGTGAGAGGGCCCAGGCGTTCTGGCTGCGCGTCTCGAGCCTTTGCAATTTCTCTCTTTCCTTTTCTCTTCTTTCCCTTCCTTCCCTTCTTTCCCTTCCCTGGTGCTCTGTGACCCTGGGCCGAGCAGGGTGCCAGCTCGTCCCTTCGCTTTGGGGCTCGGAAACTTTGTGCCGCCGCTTTGGGGCAGTGCGGGAGGGGTAGCGGGGGGGCTCGGCCGGGAGCAGCGAAAAAAGTGAAATTAGAAATCTAAAAATAATGTCAGAGATTTTCACGCTTTATCACAGCTCTGTCTTGAACCGTGTTTCTTAACTTGCCAGCGCGGTGTAGCCCCAATTCGGAGCGTCTCTGCAGCCGGTCGCGGCCCCACGAGAAGCGGCGGCGCCCGCCAAATAGAGGAGAGCTCCGCAGGCGCGCAGGTACTGTTGCAGTTTGGACCCTTGTACCGGCACGAGCCGGCGCGGAAGCTCCGCGGCCGCGGCGCGGAGGGCGGCGGAGCGGTGAGGAAGGCCTGGGGTTTGTTGCGGGAAGCGCGCCTAAGGACAAGGCGAGTGACAGCAGGAGGGAAAGCGTGAGAATGGGGAGCAGCGATGCTCGGTGCGCGGAGAGGAGCGCGAGGATTACGCGGAACGGGGCCGAGTGGCGCCCCACTTTCCTCTCGCCGGTTTTGATTTCGGTAGCCAGGTTGCACTTCAGCTCAGGGAGGAAGAAGGTGGTGGGAAATCACCCCCCAAAAGAAAAAGCTACGCGGCTGCTCGCGGCTTTCACTTGGTAGCGCGTGCCCGGTGGTGCCCAGTGTCCGGGTGGAAACTGAATTTGCCGCTCTCGGGGATGCGGAGTTGGGTCACTCGCCGTTGAGGTAGTCTAGCTGCCTTTGTCCCTTCTATTTATGCGCCGTCGCAGGACTTGGTCAACGCTGTGGTTACTGCCGATGTCCGGCATTTTTTCCCCTTTTTTTCATTTCTTTTCCCCCCTCATATTAAAGAAAAAAAAGTGGTTTTTTTTATTATTTATTTTTTTTCTCGGAGCCGAAGGGTCTGCAGGGTCTGTGATGCATCTAGGGATTATTCACGTGGTAACGAGCGCGTATCCCTGCTCCCACTTGCCTAGCTGGGTAAAAAATAAAAAATAAATTAAAAAAAAAGAAAAAAGGAAAAAGGAAAGAACGAAAGAAATGGGCAAAACTTGGGATAACTGCCCAATCGATGTCGCGATTCCATTTTTAAGGGAATTCTAGTCAAATAACAGCAATAAAACCTAGGCCTTTTTTGAAGAGCTAAGTGAAATATTCGCGGGGCGGGGGGGGAGAGGAGCTGGAGATGTTGGTCCTTTCGCAGCTCTCGTGGAGAGGGCGAGGGAGGGCAATTAAACAAAAGGCGCTAAGACCCATAGTCAGGCTGAGTGCATTCAGCAACTTTTTTTTTTTTTTATTGGCAATTTGTTTAAGCTTAGATTGCGGAGTATGATGTAAAATACATGTTGTTGAAACTTGATCTCCCTTGGACGGATTCCTTACATCCACCCATCCATGTATCTATTTATATATTTATCTGTTTAGAGAGGATAACCCAGAGCATTTTGCGTGTGCAGCTGAATGAATTTATTTTTTAAAGTGTTCCTTGGAAGAACGCCATTGTCCATTGCTAATTTTAAATTGAAGGCATTAAATAATCCCATTTACACCTAAGGCGTTTGGCTGGCCTGTGGTTTAGGGCAGCTGAAGTGGGTGGTAGATCTGGTGCCCATGTTTTTCCCTGGATATTTTGAGAGCTTTGGGTCTCTCCGTGTCTCCCATCTCTCGCGCACCGTTCCGCGCTTGCGGCGCAGGGGTTTTCGCTCCGGGAGGGTTAGTGTAACGTTTCACTAACCTTCTCCAGAGCCAGAATGAACCCGAGGATGAGATTATAGTTTCCCCTGTGATTTTTTTACGACTTTTTAAGGACCGGGGTGCTAAATATTTTGCGGAACTGGAGAGGTAGATTAGCAGCGTTTCTTGCCAAGCTGGGAAGCTGGTATTACAGATTGTCCCAGGGGGAAATCGCTCACATTAACCACTAAATGAATATTTGACAAGGGCTCATTCGGGGGTATTATTACTACAAACGGGTCCCTACTGGACTTTCCCAGGGTCAAAGAGCAATGGTTCAATTAATTATTTAGACTGTTAGTAGATTTGGTTGTAATAGCTGTACTTATTCCTGCAAGCGGCAGCTCTTGCGGTGGGGGCGCGGGCAGAAACCCCGCTCCCGCCGCCCACCCGCGGCTGTTTCGGGGTTGAAAACGCCGTTTCATTCTCGGGGAGACCCCAGTCCTCACGTGCCAGACACGAGGAGCTCCGGGGGATCCTCACAACGGCGTTTTGTCCCATAATACCTATCCCTTCTGCCGAACGGGCAGCAGGAGCGTGTATCTGTCTCCCAACAGCAGGTTGATAGCTCAGCAATTTAAGTAGTATATAATATAGGTCCCACTGAAAGAAAGAGGCCCATTACTGATAGGCGTGATTAGATACACTTCAGTCATTTAAACCCTGATCTAACTCAAATATTAAAATATAAAGCATGCTTTGGTGCACGCGAGATTTGCGAGGATGTGCTCAAAGTGCTGACATTTAGATCGCGAGGAAGCCTAATCTTGGGGTCTTAAAACCCAGCCAGCCTCGCTTGACACAGTGGTTTCAACATTTTTTTTTTTTTTTTGCGTTGGGAGGGGGGTTAGGCGGGAGAAGGGAGGGTTATTTTGTTTAATTTCTACAACAAACATGTCCGCAGTAGTAGATACTAAGAAAAAAAAATGTTGGGAGTGTGCGATTAGGTGACAATAATATATGTTGAATGAATAAGAGATAAGCTGCAAGGGGGGAGAGGGAAGCAGTAATTACAAACCCAATTCATTCAGCTTTTCAGGACTTTTGTTGTGGGAGCTCCATTGACGGGCTTCGAGCTGCCAGTTTTCTCACATTAAAAAGAACTGATCAGCGCCTCAGGGGGACAAGCAACACCGCTTAACTGCATAGTGATGGGGTCCTCATTTAGAGCCATTACAACAAGAAAATTAAACAGAGCCTTTGTGTGCACCAGGTTTACTTTTCAATTGCTGACAGTTTATAGCTAACTGCTCAGAGATTGAAGTTTGATTGCGGTTTGATCGTCTGCTAGTTAGCACCACCTTTTTTTTTTAAGATTTTATTTTTCATAATTCAAACCAGATTTTTTTTCGGAGTGATGGCACGAGGGAATTTCCAGAAGTGTGGTACTATTTTGCCCGTGGGACATCAAGTCCACTTGTCCAGGAGATGCAGCGCTGAAGTGAGTGCGGAGGGGAAGCTTTTTGGCTTGCATTTTATTATTGTTATTTTATTTTCATGCAGTTCTCGCAGTTGCAGCCCGGGCGGTTTCTGCGGGGGCCGCTGCTCCGCGTACGGCGCCGCCGGGGGCTTCGGCGTGCAGGGCCCGGACTCGCCCCAGGGCCTGCGGCTCCGGGCGCCGCTCTTGGCCCGCAGGTGCGGAACGTTTGCGGGAGACAAGTTGCAGGAGAAGAAAATAAAAGAGCACCACAAAAGCCCGCGGCGCTTTGACGGGATTTTTTTTTAAGCTCTGCTGCTGAAGGCCGGCGCAGATTTGCTGTGGTTGA